TGGTTTTATCGGCCAAGCTCTTCAACCAAAAGCTAACGACAAGACTTAGTTTTAGGGTTTTCAATTTTTCTATTCAACTCTTACCAACTTTACAATACGTTTGTAGGCCTTAAATAGAGATTACAAATAGTCTGGAAAGCAAAAGAAACCGAAACAAACAAGGTAAGCCAAAACAGTCCCAATCCTAACACAATACGGAAACTTAAAGTGCAAGTAACAACTGGTGTTGAAGTCAACTTTGAGACCCTCGTTCTCCATCCTCCCGATTCCGATTGGATCACCCAATACCTTGTTTCTGTACTAGAAAATGCGAACTTTCATGTGGACTAAACATTGAAGCTAGATTCCCAGCCATTCGTCGTGCCCTGAGCTTCAAAGTGGCCTTCCCGAAACTGTCCCATGCCTTAGGCAAAAACTGGCAGTTTGCCTGTGTTGTCATAGACTTTTGATGAGCTCGAAAATCACTCTTCCCAGCATCACCTCGAGCTCCCAAACACTCCAAGTTGTAAAGGGAGTTACAATCTACAAAACAAATCCTCCAAACCCTATTTTCATCCATCCAATCGAGAGAACTATACTTGCAAACAGAACTACCCGAAACAGCTTCCACACTTAACCAAAATCCCAGGTTTTTCCTGCAAGTTGAATTGGGTTCTTAACTCAACAATTTCCACTTGTAGATTGATCTGTTTGGGATCATATCACTGTGAGAAACCATTTTTCAACAAAGAAGCTGGCAACTTGGCAAATCATTGCCTACTGGCTTGCTTTAAGCCATAAGGAGATTTCTTGAGTTTAAAAACAACCCTTGGATCTGAAACAACAACTCCTGGTGGAGGTTTCATGTAAACCTCCTCATTCAGGTCACCAAGAAGGAAGGCATTGGCAACATCCATTTGATGGATTTGCCAATCCTATGAGGCTGTTACTGACAACAATGCCTTGACTGAATTGATCTTTGCCACTGGGGAAAAGGTATCTAGGAAGTCAATACCATAAATCTGTGTAAAGCCCTTCACAACCAGCCTAGACTTGTGTCTTTCAATGGATCCATCAGCTCTATGCTTAATTTTGTATACCCATTTGTTTCTAATTGCCTTTTTGCCTTCAGGTAGAATTACTTCATCCCAAATCTGGTTAGCAATGAGGGCATCCATCTCAGTGTTCATAGATAATCTCCAGACCATCTCTTTACATGCTTCTGCATAGGACTTAGGTTCTTCTGCATTCATAACACTTAACACAAAAGACTTGTGTGATTCAGGCAACTGTTCAAATGATACAAAGTGTTGTATTGAATGGCTGCTGGTATCTCCTGAAAACACATAGTCCTTGTGCCAAACTGGCTTAGTTCTACTTTTGGTAGGTTTCTTAATTCCAGGATCCTCCCCATCTTCAACATGTTCTTGAGCACATAGTTCTTCCTCCCCATCAGAGTGCAGATCAGGCCACTCTATAATATGAGTAGTAGGGAAAGAAGAGAAGGTATTGGGGGTGGAACTGGTGTTGGAAGAGGGGTTGATACTAGAAGAGGACGGAAAAGAGTGAGGTTGGGATGCAGTCTGAGGATTTGGTGAAGGAACTGGCGGTGGCAAATGTTCAGTAGGAAGAGGAGAATGGATAGGAAGAGAAATATCAGGAGAAGAGGATGATAGGATGTGTGCAGGAGCCAGTAAGAATTGGATCAGGGATGATAGAAGAAGTGGGAGTGGTAGTTTTGAAGGGGAAAATTTGTTCATGAAAGATGACATGTTTGGAGACAAACACATCATGAGTATTGAGGTAAAAAAGTTTATAACCTTTGATTCTAGGAAGAAATACAAGGAAAATACACCGTCTTGCCCGGGGATTAAATTTGGTTCTATCCCTAAGCAATGTAGAAGCATAGGAAAGGCAGCCAAATACTTTAAGGTGAGACAATGTAGGTGGTTTGTGATAGAGAAGATCAAAAGGAGTGAAATCCTGCAGAATAGGGGAGGGAATCCTATTGATGAGGTGCACAACATGCAGGATGCAATCGCTCCAGAAGGTTAATGGTAAGCCAGCTTGAAATCTAAGTGCCCTGGCAACATTTAATATATGCTGATGCTTCCTCTCGACTCGAGCATTTTGCTCTGGAGTCTCTACATAAGAGGTCTGATGATCTATTCCATTAGCAGAATAAAAGTCGGCCATATGAAACTCATTACCCTGGTCACTTCGAATAACTTTAACCAATCTGCCAAACTGTCTGTTAACCACCACATAAAAGGCTTCCAAAATCTGACGAGTTTCAGATTTCAACTTCATCAAATAAGTCCAAACAGCTCTAAAATGATCATCTACTATCGTAAGAAAGTAAGAATAACCATCATAGGACTTAACAGCAAGAGGTACCCATATATCCACATGAATCAAGTCAAACACAAACTGTGCTCTACTGGTGCTAATAGGAAATGAAAGTTTTCTTTGTTTAGCTAAATGACAGGTTTCACAATGCCTAATAGTGGACCTATTACAACCAACAAGCTGGTTCTCTCTTTCTTTGCTGGGGTGTCCTAGTCTCTAATGCCAGAGCTCAATTTGGTGAGGTTGAAAGTTGTAGGTGGCTGCTGTGTGATGGTGAGGTAAGGTTGGAATGTTGGGAAAAAGTTGGTAGAGTCCTCTATCTGTCTGGTAAAACCAATATGCTTCCTGGTCACTAGGTCCTGAATATGACAAGAGTCAGATTCAAAATGCAAAGAAAGTAGAAGGCCATGGGTAAGTTTGCTGAAAGATATGAGGTTGAAGGTAAAACTAGGGACCAAGAGCACATTTTGAAGGTAGAGACAAGGTTGTAGTCTAAGTGTCAAACAGTACCAATATGACTAACTAGAACCTTAGACCCATTGGGAAGGTACACAAATTGGTTAACTGTAGGTTTGACATCAATTAACAAAGAGAGAGTGCAAAAAATGTGGTCTGAGGCCCCAATGTCCAATATCCAGACTTGAGCTAATCCCATTAAACCATACCGATTGTGTGAAGATAGAACATACTTACCATAAAAGTTGGGAAACTGTGGTAAGTGTTGAGTGACTAAATAAGCAACATGCTTGAGGGAAGGTGAAAGAGGTGGTGGGTGACTCATGATGTCAGACTGTTGTAAGAGAGACTTCAGTTTGCTAAATTCTTCTGTAGTGAACCATTGACTTCCTTGACTGCTTTTGGTATCTAGACGCAGAGTGCTACCTATAGAACTAGAGTCCTTGCTTTCTGAGTCTTTATGAGAAACAGAACCAGCAAAATTGTTCTCTCCTACCATCCTGGCCTTCTTGTTTTTGAGTCTGTAACACTCTTCCTTCAAGTGACCATTTTTTTGCAAAATCTGCAGAATTTGCCTTCCATTTATGTGGCATCCTTTCCACCTTTGTTGGGTTCAAATGAACTGTAACTCTTCTGCTTATCACCCTGAGCTGCAAGTGCTACTGAGTGAACACTTTTGTTAGAGTGACCTTTGTCTGATTTGAGCTTTTGTTCATGTTGCAGGATGTCATCTACAACAACTTCTACATAGGGTAATGGCTTCATCATCAACAACTGAGTTTGCACCACATCGAGCGTAGGCCTCAGTCCTCGAAGAAACTTGATTAGGTATTCAGTTTCATGTCTTTCCTTAAATGCTTCAACAGCTGCACAAGGTCTAGTTCTAACAATCACAGTCAACAATGGGGTTGAACTGGAGGTATTCCTCCCATAATCCCTTCAAGTGTACATAGTATTGAGTCACACTTAGACTTCCTTGTTTAAAACGATCTATGACTTCCTTCAAATTAGCAAGTCTCAATGCATTGAAGCTTCCAAATCTCTTCTTAAGTTCATCCCAAAGTGTCTGTGCTACTTCATGCTGCAATACACTACGACGTATATCTTTATCGATTGAATTCATAATCCAACACAGCACCATGGTGTTGGATGCATCCCACAAAATGAACTCTAGGTGAGTTCGTCTGGCATAGGCAAGCTACCATCAATAAACCCAATCTTATGCTTGGTTTTGAGAACCATTCGAACAACCCTTTGCCACATCTGGTAATTGTGTTCATCTAGCAACTCTGAGACTATAGATTGTCCTAGATTTTCACTAGGATTGATGTAGTAAGGACTACCAAACACATAACCCATTTGGTTTTGAGGATTACCAGTATAGATATGAGATTGTGCATCATTCTGCGTCTGCTGGGTTTGTTGAGTTTGCTGGGTACATTGGGCTTGTTGATTCTGAGCATTGCAATTGAAACTTCCAAAGGTAATTTCACCATCTCCACTGCCTGAGCTACTGGGTGGTGTATTCATCTTGTTATTTTGACGCGGAAAAGCGGATCACCGCTCTGATACCATATGAGAAACCTAGCTGCTAGGGTTGCAGCAGGTTGTAAAAGGGAGAAGAGGATGCGAGAAATGAATTTGTTGGAAACCCGCAAATTGCTAAGGCTTCTGATTCAGCTATTTTTACCAGTGTTCAGAGAGTAAAGTAAACAAACAGTAAAACATGATTTGTTTGTTAAACTGGAATTTGAAATAACATAATTAATAAACGCCACGTGTCTTCTTCTTGTTGGCCTCTTGGTCTCCACCTAACGGTAAGTGCTGGTCTCCACATCGTCGTTTTAACCTTTGCTTAAACTAGGTGGAGGGGAAGGCACAAACGAAACATTTATGCCTGTCTTTACTCTATTCTTCTGTTGTTCTTCTTGAATCAGCTCTGCAGCTTCCTCCCTTCGATCTTCATCTCCATCTTTCTGCTATGTTAAATGCCAAAACTACCTTCTCATTTCATAATAATTCATCACTTTATCTGAATTATTAGATTAGATCCATTTGAGAGGAATTTAGTCAAGAGACTATAATGATCCCCTTAATAGTCTTTTTTATTTTCCAATGACCCGCTTAGTCACCACTCACCAGATCCGAACCCACTCCCGGACCATTGAAGAATGCCTACAGGCCTAGCTAGCCCATTCGCCCATCGAGCCATTCTTGGCCAGGAACCCGATGGAAAGTTAATTAGTTACCAAAAACCCGCATAAACCTCGCGCTGCCCCCAAAAATCCCTAATCAATGGTGGCGATGGGTTTCTTCTTCCTCCCCGTCGCCCGCCGATGAGATCCATCTTCTCTCCCCACCCTCCACTCAAGCCTCTCATCTTCCCACTAACCAGACCTTTCATGGCTTCTTCCGTTAGCCAAGTTCTAGACCCGCCCACCAGCCCGGACGATTCAATCTGTTCCAGCAGCCCTCTCCATCACCAAGACGCAGCCCAACCAGAGGAAGACCCTTCTTCTTCTTCAGCCGTCCCCTCTTGCGTCTCCCCCTCGCCCAACGGGTACCTCACCGGAGAATCTCGGGCGGAGCGAGCATGGGCACACTGGATCGAGCTTGGTCGCCCCAAGTTCGTTGTTGCTCCGATGGTGGACAACTCCGAGCTCCCCTTTCGGATGCTCTGCAGAAAGTACGGAGCAGATGCTGCTTACACTCCGATGCTTCATTCCAGGATTTTCACCGAGAATGAGAAGTACAGGACCCAGGAATTCACCACTTGCAAGGTACAGTTATCTCCGGTGATTTTATTGGATGTCGATAATCTTAGTACTCGTGAACCAATTGGAACTTTGATTCGCAGGAGGACCGGCCGCTGTTCGTTCAGTTCTGTGCAAATGATCCAGACACCTTACTTGAAGCTGCTGGGAGGGTGCAACCTCATTGCGACTATGTCGATATTAATTTCGGGTAGAAGTTCGATAAAATGTCTCTGAGAAGCATTAAAGTTGGAATGAAAGAAATGGTTCAGTATTAACTATTAATTGTGATTGGGTGTTGTGGTGTTCTCTGCAGTTGCCCTCAGCGGATTGCCAGGCGGGGGTATTACGGTGCTTTTCTAATGGACAACCTGCCACTGGTAAAGTCCCTGGTTGAAAAGCTGGCCCAGAACCACATCCGTGTCTCCTGTAAAATCCGAATCTTCCCAAAATTGGAGGATACAATTAGCTACGCCAAGATGTTGGAGGAAGCTGGCTGCTGGGTGCTGGCTGTACATGGCCGAACTAGAGATGAAAAAGACGGGAAGAAGTTCAGGGCTGACTGGAAAGCCATCAAAGCTGTAAGAGAAGCAGTGAGAATCCCTGTTCTCGCCAATGGCAACATCCGCCACATGGAAGATGTTCACGACTGTTTGGAGGAGACAGGCGTGGAAGGTGTGCTTTCAGCCGAGACTCTGCTGGAGAATCCAGCTGTGTTTGCTGGATACCGAACTCCTGAATGGGTCTCTGCTGGCGAGGAAGAAGAAAAGCACAGAGATGGATTGCTCGACCAGGCTGATTTGGCGGTGGAGTATTTGAAGCTGTGCGAAGAGTACCCTGTGCCGTGGAGAATGATCCGTTCCCATGTGCATAAGATGTTGGGAGAGTGGTTTAGGGTTCATCCTCATGTTAGGGAGGATCTGAATTCACAATCCAAGCTGACATTTGAGTTTCTGTATGATATGGTGGACCGTCTCAAGAAGCTCGGCGGGAGGATTCCACTTTACGTTAAGGATGCGGATGTAGCCAAGTCCTAAAGCTTCTGCTAATCGGGGTAGCCAATTGAATTAAGGGCAGCTTGGCTGTTCTATTCATCCTTGTGTCATGAACAAGGTACGATGTACAACATATACAATGTATGTTCCTTTATACTGTGGTTCATAGGATGTCATGTTACAGTTCTTATTAGCCAATGTGGTTTTCTTCTCCCCTGGTTGTGGTATGGGAATTGGCCCACTTATATGTTTTGAAGACCATTTTACAGGAAACTTTAGATTGTTATATTCTCACGATTGAAAGGGTTACTGCATATGGGCTTTCCTCTTGTTTTCTTCATTCTTAGTTTGGTTTCTTAAACTTTTCCGCAACTGTGCTTCTGAGAAATATTATTTATTGCAATATAAGTTATATAACCATAGAGGCATAGAGCCATGAATGACGAAATTGGTTTGATCTCTAACATACAAACTGTATAAATGAATTTCATAAGTTTTGATGAATTCATTTTGAAATGAAACAATTTTGTGTTTGATATTTAAAATAATTTATTTTTAATTCTAAATTTTGAATTCTATGGAATTGGAACTAGTTATTGCAATTTCGGAGAATTGAGATGGAATTTCCAAATGAATTCCACAAGTATTAATTAATTAATTATAATAGAATGATATAATTATTCTCTTTTGTTAACTAAAGTACTTATACATATGACATACTAAATACATAAATTCATTTGAACATGAATTCTACACGGCAATTCATTTTATTTCTAAAGATTTGAATATCTCATACCAAACACAAGATTTCATTTGACAATGAATTCTACATGGTCATTCATTTTACAATGAAATGAATTCTAGATTCATTTGGTACCAAACGGTGTAAATGTTCTCCATAGACAACTTTCTTTTCCCAACTTCCTTAAGGGTGGCGGTAAGTAAGTGATTAAATATTATATATGGACTTTTGCAAATATAGTTATTGGAACCAATTGGTTTGGTTTATGACATTGTATCATAGTTAGTTTGTACTTTGATATCATCTGTAAAAGTTCTTGCGACCTGTAATATTAACCGTTATGTTAAAACATGATATGGTAAACTTCCTTAAGGGCTTGGTCTAGTGGTAATACCACTAGTCTAGAACCTGGAGGTCTCAGGTTCGAATCCCTTAAGTAGTACCTTAATCACAAAAAGAGAAACCTATATCATCCTTATAAAAAAAAAAAAACTTCCTTAAGGTTGGCGGTAAGTGATTAAATATTACATATGGACTTTTGCGAATTCACTTATTGGTACCAGTTGGTATGGTTTATGACATGGTAACATAGTTAGTTTGTACTTGAGGTCATCTGTACAGGCCCTTGCGACCTGTAATATTAACCGTTGTGTTAAAACACATGTTACGGTAAACTTGTGCAAACTTCAAACTAACGAGTTGACTTTCATTTGTGGGGCATATAAGGTAGTAATTCACTAGAATATTCACATCGATTAATATGAGCCAAATAATTTTGTGCTAAACTCGCGAAGATTTCAAGAAAAACCTTTTCAGTATGGAAGAAAACTTTATGCTCACTGCCCCTTTCACAGAAGCGAAAATATGGAATAAGATTTGGTTGTGCAATGGAAATAAGGCACCGGGGTCTGACGGTTTCACTCTCGCGTTCTTCAAGAAGGCATGGAGTATTATCAAGGTTGAAGTGGTTAAAGCTTTGGATGAGTTTTATCTAACAGGAAATCTCCCTGACTCTGTTGCTCATTCCTTTCTTTGCCTCATTCCGAAAAAAGAAACTGCTGAGGAGGTTAAGGACTTTCGCCCAATCAGTCTGATCGGAAGTCCAAATAAAATAATTTTTTTTTGATGAAGCCAAATAAAATAATTTCTTAGCTCATTTCCCCCCTGCTCCAACCATTCATGAAAATAGTGATCACTAGACACCAGTTTGCTGGTGTTAAGAGCTGTCAAATCCGTGAAGCGGGGCTGCTCGATAATGAGTTGGTGGATAGCAGGATTAGAAGTGGAAGACCATGATTGGTTTTTAAGGTTGACATTGAAAAGACCTTCGATTCTGTCAATTGGAGTTGCTTGTTCAAGATTCCGAAGAACATGTGGCTGAATTCTCGTATGCAAAAGTGGCTTAAAGGGCCGATGCTGGTTAACGGTGAAGCTGTCGGTTTCTCTCACACTCAACGTGGAGTGGACTAAAGCAGGGGGACTCACCGTCCCCTTTCTTTTTCAGCTTAGTGATGTATATCCTATCCTTCATTCTCCATCAGGCTCAAGAGACTGGCCTAATCACGGGTTTCTTTATGGACGAGGATGTCAGATCGGGACTTGTTAACCACTTCCTCTATACCGATGACACTTATCATTTTCTGCGATGAAACTGAAGAGGCGGCTTTTAATTTGACTGTTGCGCTGCTATGGTTCCAGACTTTCACATGTTAGAAGGTGAATCTTAGGAAGAGTATGCTCTTCCCGGTGAGTGATGTTGAGAATGTGGATAGACTGGCAAATATCCTCGGCTGTGATTGGAAGTTTATATTTTCTCACTATCTTGGATTCCCTCTTGGAGCTACTCCCTCTTCCCCATCGATCTGGAATGTTGTTATTCGTAAGGTGGAGAGACAAGTAAAAGGTTGGAAGGGGAAGTATTTGTCTCTCGGTGGCAGTATCACGCTATGTAATGCGGTGCTCGCTTCTCAACCCATTTACATGTTTAGTCTTTTCAATGCCCTGAACTCTGTGATTAGCATCCTTGAAAAGGCTCAAAGGGATTTTATTTGGCCGGGTGTTCAGGGTGAGAAGAGGATTCACTTCGTCTCGTGAGAGAAATGCAAGGATCCTAAGAAGCTCTAAGTGTTAGGGATCGTTGCCTTAAGAGCTCGCAACCAGGCGCTTTTATGCAAGTGGTGGTGGAGGTTCGCCGCCGAAAGAGATTCTTGGTGGAGGGAACTAATCAACCTCAAGTTCCCTAACGTGATGTGAGATTGGATGCTTGAGAAAATTCGGGGGCTTGCAGGGTTGAGTCCATGGACCCAAATTATGAAACTCAAGAAGATATTTTGGAAGTACCCTCGGATCAACCCTAGCTCCGACTCGAAGACTTCCTTTTGGTATTATTATTGGCTGAAGAACAAGACCCCCGCCGAAAAGTTCCCTCGAGTTGTTGTTGCTGCCGAGTCGCCGTCCTGTCGGATTAACAAGATTGTTAATCATTCTTAGGGGAGTGTTCTGGGATATTCCTCATAAACATTCGCTTAGGGGAGTGTCACCTGATAGTGTTTGTGCAGGTCCACCTTGGCTCATTTGGGAGCCTTCTACTGGCTCTGGTTTTACTTCGCGATCGCTCTATACAGAAATCATCAAAGATCGCTTCCCTAGATCGACTTCATTCTCTTTCAAGGCTGTATGGCATCATGTTATCCCTCATAAAGTGTGTATCTTCACTTGGATTGTCTACCAGAGGAAAGTGCTGACCCATGATGCTTTGAAACGAAGGGGATGGTTCATAGCTAGTCGTTGCGTGCTTTTGCGGTGTCAACGAAGAATCTCTTGATCATCTGTCCTTCTTCTGCAGCTTCCCTAGTCAGGTTTGGAGGGTCATGGCAACCTTTGTGAAGCTTCCTAACCGGGCAATTGACATCCCTTCCTGCATCGGTCCTTGGCCCTGCAGCACCCCGTCCAATCTCAATGATTGGTGTTCCAAAGTCTTCCTCCATGCTTTCCTTTGGCGCATCTGGCTTGAGAGGAATTCCAGAAATTTCAAAGACAAAAGCAGTTCCTTTTGGATTGTTTGTCTTCAAATTGTCAAGGATAATTCAAATTGGCTTACCGCTTCTAAGAAAGTGCATAGAATCATAATTGAACAGTGGTTTAGCGACCTTAGAGCCAAGATCCGTCAATCCTTTCAGCAACAGGCCATTTTGTGAGCTCTACTCTTGGTGGTCGCTTGCGTCTAAGCATGGTTTGGTTTATCAGGAGGGGTGCGTATCATGGATTTGATTTCGATTGTTCTGCTTTTTGCTTTGCATTTTGTTTTGGTTCCCAGCTGCTGCTGGTACGCTGTCCCCGTAGGGGTTTCTTTGTTGTTTGGCGCCGACTTTGTTGTTTGCCGTTTTTGTTTTCCCTTTCTTTCTTTCTTTATGTTTCTCTTGTTAACTTTACCCCCTTAATTTTAATTTTTTTCACCATTATATAAAAGAAATGCATATTACAATCTCGTAGTCAGTTTTGTGATTGCCATTTGCATCACATAGAGCATGGCAACCTATGATCCGCGACACCCAAAATGCTTCTCTAGCTTTCTCTCTTTCAGTTTTGGAGGACTTTATTATATCTTTGTTAGCACGAGCTCCCAAAAGTTTGGCGCTATTGAGAAGTTGATGGAGGTTGCTACTAACAAGTTCTTCACCACTGAGGTCTGACTGTGGAATGATCAAATCTCTTTCCAGAATCTTGAGACCCAAAGTGGCACCATAGTTCAAGCAGTCACTACTATGGCCACTCATTTCTAGGACCCAAAAGCAAGGCCACTACCCTTAGGAGCGAGAAGGAAACCGCCGATATCCTTGCTCCGAAGCGACAAATAGAGGTTTACCTACCCCAGTTATACCGGTGGTAGTTGATATCGCGAAGAAGGATGTTTAGGGACCAACTTCTAAGTCGAAACCCGTGGTGAAGGAGTATCTTTCTCTACTTCCATGCCCCACTCAAATGCACAAGGACAGGTTTAAGCCAGAGTTTGTCAATTTCATGACAATGCTGAATAGGTGCACATCAACTTGCCGTTCGCAGAGGCCTTTCCCAAATGCCCAAATATGCCAAGTTTTTGAAGAACATCCTCACAAACACAAAGAAGTTGTGGTAGTATCAAGGTCCTTGCATAATATGTACTATGCATATAGGGAAGTCCTTGGCGGTCCTAGGTGGTAGTATCAAGGTCACGACTTATTAATTGTTCAAACGATTAGGCCTATGTGAACCTACTACCACTAAGATGAGTATTCAAGTATCTGATTGGTTTGTGGTGCATTGTAGAGGAATTGTAGATGATTTGCTAGTTAATGTGGCTACATTTATCTATCTTGTTGATTTTATGATACTGGATATTAATGAAGATGTGGATGTACCCTTGATTCTAGGAATACCGTTTTGGACACCTCCAAGGCACTAGTTGATGTGAATGATGAGAAACTAATACTGAGGGCGAGGATGATCAATTTACTTTCTCCAATTTTAATAGCATGATGCATTCCGCTTGCTTGATGATTTGGATTGTTGTAATACTGTGTCTGATTTTGAAACAACACTGGCCATAATGAGTGTTGGCATTGGTGATACGCTTGAGTCATGTATTGAGCTAGGTGAACAGACAGTTGAGGAGCCACAGGTGGTGGACAACTAACAATATTGGATGAGGCACTAGTGCAAGAACATGAACATCTAGTGGAGTCG